AGGTGCCTGTCAGTGCAAGCGGTGGGGTCAAGGGGTGGGTCTGAAGCCATTTTGGCCTCCAACAAGTACATCTGTGCGTGGAGAAGCCAGTGATGTCGTCAGTGATGTACTGAGATTACTGACAGAAGTAAAGGTCAAGATTTGAAATTGGTTACACCCTAGGTTATAAACAATACTATGACGCTAACATGGAATTTATTAACATCATACGGTTTCTACAGGTCCTGAAGGTTTCACTTTTCAGAAATCAGTGATAAATACTGTAATGTAGGCCACCTTTTTTCGGTATATAATCATAATCATATTTTGTAAGCTATCATGGTGTAGCCTACTTCAAATAGTCACAACTTAATTCTTAAAAGGTCAACATTTAAACTTTGCACAATCACATTGCTTGGGAGTACAATTTCACCATCCATGACCAAGGTAAGAATGTTACGAATACTGCCACAAAATTTCCTCAATCTTTTTGCATAACAGCCAAGTATACAATGCTGTGTATAATAACCACATGTACCGCAAAATATGTCACCTTCCAAAATGAATTCTGAACTCCATTTAGAAGTCTCAACCTATTAACAGGTTGGAGAAAAGGGCAACATTAGATTTGTTACACTAAGGGCTCAAAGTCCTAGAACACAATGTCTTGACTGAAAAAAAAAATAAAAATTCATTGTTATCTCCTGCATTTTTGATAAATGAGAAATGGGTCAGATATGAAGAGCTACATAGTGTGAATTGTAGTGAAAGAGGATCACGATGCTGCTTTGCCTTCCTCATGGACAAGGCAAGGTACAGTGACCTCAGGACTCTTGCACTGAGCAGGTTATATACAATAATTTAAAAAGAAACTCAGTGACTAAAGCTTTGAATTTAATCTGGCAGATGAGTGGCTAAAGGTTTCAGAACTGAGACAGCATTCACAATTCAAAAGTCACTAAAGCTAAACAGTGTGGAGACAATAAGGGAGTTGGAGATGTCATTCCAATCCCAGACTTGATGTTATGGGGATGTGAGCTTACACAGAACCAAAAAGCTAGGTGCTGTCTTCATTCGTCCTCCTTTGTGAAGGGATTAATTTGAAAATTCTTCTGGAGAATAAGAATACACAGAATGTTGTTAAAGAAAACAAATGTCTTAAAAATATTCCTCTTGTAAATGTGACAGGTGCAAATCCTCCCATAGTCAAAGTTCAGAAATGGAAACAATTCCTCAGAAATTAATTTTAACAATTAAAAGTTATTTGGGATAAAGTCTGGAGGGGAGAGGAACAAACTAAGATTATGACTACCATAAAGCCCTTGCATGTACTGATATTTTGTATTGACACAATATTACACAGTACTGACAATGCTATGCTTTAAGCTATTGTATAAGATACGATCAAGCTAAACTAAGTATATATTCTAGTTTGGCTAGTGTAACACCAATGATTTCCTCCAGTACAGTTACTATAGTCAGAGACCATTTTTTCATGTCTTGTAGATATAGTTATGTTGGCAGGTGTCTGCTGCAAGGCTAGTTTACTTTAATGACTTCTCATGGAAAGTCTGCAACACAGACTTCAACATAATGTAGAAGCGGAAGACACATCTTACTTCTGTATAGCCCAGATCTCAACGTTGGTTACATATGTTGGCGCTGGAGAAAGAAGTTTTATTTCTCTTATACCTGTTTATGAAGTAGCAGCAGCAGCTTGGACAACGACACACAACTTGGCTGAGCTTGCCCTGACACACCCAAGAAGAGCTCCCGAAATTATCGCAGTGCTAATATGACTTGAAAGGGAAACGTGGATGTTTTTATGAAGTACCTAAGCATCTCTCATCAATTTGCAAGGCAATAAGCAGCCTTTTGTGGCAAACCATGCAAGGAATGGTGTTGCTAAAACAAACCAAAGAGGAATAGTTTCCCTTGTGACTTCTGATTAGCCATATAAGTGAACTATTGGATCCAGATTCTGTGCTATGGTGTATTTGCCTTGGCCCAGCAAATTGCCCTTGAAATGAACTCTTTGCTAACAGAAAGCTTGTGTACAGCAACTGTTCTGCCTACTGCTCTCTGCAATTACGGATCGCAGTCAGGACAAATGAGAAATGAAGCAAGCAGAAAAGGGCATTAAAACTCTGTTTCAGACCTACTTCTGAGCAGGCTTAGTTTAGCATTTTTTCATCCTGTTCAGTACATATTCCATAGCAATTTTGAACACAGTATCATTTAAAAGTTAACATCAGCTTAGCTGGTAGCATCAGATAAAAGCTCTCATTTGTAATGAACAGACAAATTTGTTATTGCCCCAGTCAATAGCTATTGACTTGGTAGAGCACTTCTGGTTATTACAATCAAATCCTTTTTCTTCTTTGTTCAATAGCCAATGACACTGTAATGGAAGGTACTGCTTACAAACTGATGCAATATATATCAGCAGCTGCTAGAAGTTAATGACTAATGGTTACAAAGAGGAAAGCATGTGCTAAGAACAGCATTACACATCTATTAATCAAATTTACTGCATCCGATCTGCCTTTATAGGTTAGCGGAACTGTAATGCACATCAGATAAATATTTTCTGCTGTTATTAATCTAAGTTTTAACACAAAACACCTTTTAATCATCCTATCATTACATAAATAATTTGACTAGGATAAGGTTCTCTCTCACTTTTACAGCACACCTTTTAGTTATAGGAAGTTTCTGCCCCGTGTTGGCTTGTACAATCCTAGATTTAGGATTTAGTGAAATGTAGGGTAACTATTCTGCTCCCAGCTGAAGCCGTGTTATTCTCTAAATACCACAGATGGGGTAGTATAAATCATAGAATCATAGAATGGTTTAGGTTGGAAGGGACCTTAAAGATCATCTAGTTCCAACCCCCCTGCCATGGGCAGGGATGCGTCCCACTAGACCAGGTTGCTCAAAGCCCCATCTGACCTGGCCTTGAACACCTCCAGGGATGTTGCAAGGCAACATCCTAAAGATAAACTGCCAAAAGAGAAGCATAGCTTCTTCCCTGCAGCAGAGCAGTACTGTACAACTTTGTCCTTTACAGTTTATATAACTTGCACTTTCCATGCCTTAGGGTGAAATTTGTTGAAAACTCATGTATTTTTTTCATTCTATAACTATTGCTGTATACTTGCTTTATTCTTTTTCAAACCTGCCTGACCCAAAAATATTTTCTCTTAAATATTCCCTACTTATTTTATATCTGAGTGAGATACATATTTTTATAGGACAGTGTGACTACAACAGTAACACCTACTATTTTTATATTACCTCTAAGCAAACATTCCAAAAACAATAATAAAGTTTGTTGACTCCTTAGAGAAAAGCAGAACTGCTAATGGTGACTTCTTGACTTAACGTTGTCTATAATCACTTTTCCTGTAGAACAGGAACAAATATTCTAATGTTGGAGCACTGATTTATCTGTTTGTTTCTGTTTTCTTAATGCAATCTTTATTTCTCTCTAGAATGATGATGAGACATTACAGAAAGAAAATTTATAAATGTGGCAAAAATTAAACAATCATGCCATTGCCAAGTACATTATGCTGTACTCTACGTGCACCATCTAACTGGATTTAAACAATGTTCATAAATCACAGCCACTAGTCTTTTTCGGAAATGAGACATACACTACTAGATCCACCACATGGATCCTAGTCACACCTGTGATACTGGTTCATAAACTACCCATGTTGGTGAAGACTGGTGGAATTTAATTGCTGCTATACTGCTCATTATGAAGTTAGAAGCTAAATTCAATTAAGATCCTACCTATTTAAATCTCTTGACAAAGATCTCCAATGCTGCTCAGCCAGTATTAACTTGCGTTCCTGTTTGTTGTCAGCAGAACACTTACTGATGGGAGAGCAGTGGAGGAGACTAAGCCATATCTTTCCAGAAGTTTGCAACGTAATGCATTCTGTTAGTCTAGTAACCAAACATTCCTAAAAAATAATGAATTTATCCTTGCAATACTGTGTTTAGAAAAAAAAAAAAAAAAAGATCCTTTTCATCTTAATTTAGAACCACAGAGAAACAGATTTGAACAAGGTCATCCTGTACACCTATTGAAATCCACTCCAATGACACGGCTTCAGGAGATATAATTTCCTCTTTGTTATAGTACGTTGTGTTTTCCAAACATAGTTTTTGATATTGTAACAAGTTGACACCAGGAAATATTCATAACATATTTATTCTAGTTACTGTGACAGAAAGACGACATCATTGTTTTATAAAACACATATACACACAACACTTGATCTTTAAAAGAAAGGTATAAGTACTGCAAATCAGCAAACATGGCTTAGGTTGAGGCAACATTAATTTTGAGAAGAGCATACCTTATGAGTTTTTTAATTCATTACTGCAAAAAGTTGGCATTAAAGAAATCACATTCATGTTAATAAGACTTTTACTTAATACTTAAATGATAACTAGACATTTTAGCATTTCAGTAAAGCCTGTAACCCCACTAGATTTTTTGCCAATGCTAGATTTCAGAGGCAAGGGTTATTTCTTGGCAGCTGCAATAAGAATAAAGAGTAAGACATTTCATAGATTATTCTGGATTTTTAGTGAATCATTTGCAAGTGTACAATAAGTTTGAAAGAGTTTACATTTTATTTCTTTAAAATAGGAAATTGATCTCTTCTAGTACCAAAACCAGTAAAACAGAACCAAATAAAGAGTGGGTGTATTCCACTTGCCTATAAGCATACTCTACAGTGCTACTTCATAAGACCCTGTAAAGGCTTTATTTGAATGAGAAGAATTTTTATTAAAAAAGAAAAATAAAACATTTCTAATTGAAAACATATAGGCTATGAATTTCCTATTATGGTCCTAAACTCTGTTGTTCCTGCTGCACTTTACGATTTGGGTAATTTCTGAGAATTGCAATCCATATTGAATGTGCAAGTAATGCTTAATTTTGATACTAAATGACATAAAATGGGAAAAACAACAAAAAGCTATTAATAGTAACTTACTTTTTGTAACAACTCCTTCAAGGCGAATTATATTTGGGTGATCAAATTGTCCCATGATACTAGCCTCTCTCAGGAAATCTCTTCTTTGCCTGTCCACATAGCCGCCCTTTAGAGTTTTAATTGCAACAGGTATCTCTCTTTTTCCTGGTGTCTTCAGACGTCCACTGCATACTTCTCCAAACTCACCTTAAATAGATACATTACTTGTTAGATAATTCACAGTGCCTAAAGAACTACAGTACAGTTTGTATTGCTGAACTTAAACACCTTTTCTTTCAAAATAACCTTCACTAGCTGTCTTAAAAGTTGTCTTTTTTAATATTTCAATTATTTCTAGTTGTCAGTGAAACATGAATGCAAAAATATTCAAGAGACTTACACAAACCCAGGAGAAGTTCCCAAGTTTCATCACATCCCAGAAAAGCAAAATATTCAGCATTATTTTACAACAAATAATTACCTTTCCTTTGTGCCACACCACGAGATCATGAGGACTTGAACTTTCACTTAAACACTTTCACTTAAACAGCCAAACCATCTGCCTTCCTGACAATTTGAGACTGAACTTTGATGTCAATATACAAGATACAACTGAGCATGTTATGAGGAAGGAATACAATGACACTTAGATTTTAATTCTAATGATGACAAAATATCTATCTAAAAATCTGCTTATAGCAATATCTATCTATAGGGGTGTCATGCACTAAGACCTATATCAAAAGAAATGCCGTGAGAATATCAGAATACCTGACTATCCTCCAATTGCAGAAAGCATTTAAAATGTACTTAATGCTATTACACCTCAGAAAAGCACTTGCACGTGATTTATTTAAATGGACTTACATACCTACTTGAAATTAATTACATATTTCACTGTTCAGACAGCCAAAGGCCAACAGTTTCAGCAAATCAGGACTGAGCTGCATAACGAGAGGAATCTCAAAGCTGACTTCACCTGATGTTTTCCTGGGCATGTAAGGGCCTTTGAAGAATGCATGTCTCCTCGCATTCCTTTACACATTTACTAATGAAGTTTGTATGGAAATCACAACTTTCCTTTGATCTTGAAGCCACTCAGAAGTTATTTAAAGCCCCTACCAAACAAACATACTCTGGATGCCTGCAGGTCAGTTTTCAATGGGTAAATGAAAAACAATGTTAAAAAAATATTTCAAAGCACTTCTCAGTGCAGGCACTTCCACAGCAGAACTACATTCTCTACCCCAGTCACTTTGGATTTAGAACTGCTGAAAAACAAAAACCGAGTCATAAACAGACACATATTTAACATGAAGAAATAATTTGTTACCCCCTCCATTGAGTACTGTCTGAATTAGTTTTCCTTAAACTTTAAGGACAGAACAAAAGAAAACAAAATAAGAGAGCTCTATCTGTAACGTTGTGTCCTCAGATATGAAGCGAATTTAGAAGACAGAGGCCTTAAAGACAGAAGCTTCACTTCAGAAAATTATAACTCCCTGATGTTATAGGATTAGAATGGATATTGTCATACAGCTTTTATTTTATTAGGTTCTGTCGCTTCCACTAAAATAAAACAAAGTTTTATTAGCAAATAAGATCCAGGAAGAGTGGAGGGATTAAAAAAACAATTTCATTGCTTGTCTTTCACTTCAAAACAGAGACATCATCAAGTGCAAGAGTACAGATGCTGAACATAACCTCTGAATAAATTAGCCGCTTCTTAAACAGCTAACAAAAGCCAAGCATCCTAGGTTGTCTTTCTATGAAAAAAACCCCCCACCCCACATTTGTTTTATTTCTACCTAATTTTTAAAAATAAATCAAAGCATGTGCTTCCCTGAAGATGTGTGTGTATATGTGAAAATATATGTCATCAGACTAATGCTCTGTGAATCTTTTGACAAAAGGCGAAGTTGGGTAGGGATTTTCCTGTATGATTTTGCCCCTTTAGCTCTTAGAAGGCTCTCCTTAAAAGTTTGTTTGCCTAACTACTGCCGCTGAAAAAGTAGTAGCTAATTTGGACTTCTAAAGTACTACCTAAAACAAAGTAATGAAACCTGAATGTTTTGAAGGAGACACGGTATATCAATCTTCTATTCTGTGATACATCCAGCAGTGCTAGAACGCACCTCTAAAGTGCATCTCTAAACCTTACTGCATCTTGCTGTCTTTTCAAACTTCAATGCCTAAAACAAGGAAAATTTTCAATTTCTTTCTCTTGGTGAAACAGTGAAAAGCAAAAATACTAGAGCCTTAATATCCAGATTTTTAAAGAGATTTCATGATCAATAAATCTGCAGAACTGCACGATCTCATTTTTGAGAATAATTTGGAAAGCATAGGGTATAGCATAAATTGTTTTGCTATTATAAGATTATACAAGAGTACTACAACTTCAGAATTTCAGAAATAATGGCATTCATGCCTCAGGGACTGTAAAGGGTTGTTCATCAAGTGTTTTGAAATGAATTAAACTGAAAGAGACAAGTGAAGGACTTACAATCCCAAGATTTATTACCCGTACAACATCCAAAGCAGGGGAAGGAACATTGTGTCTTCTCCCTGACCTGTTTCTTTTCTGCTTTCTGGGTGCATGATTTGTACAGGTAGAAGGAAATTTCACTCCTCTTGGATATTGGGATTGATAAACTGGTGAACATAAAGACTAACAGCAATTTTTTGGTGGCGTGATGTCAAACAGACAGTAAGTGACTATCAGCTCCCAGAACAGACAGTTGCTCCATTTAGAAACCTAAGGTACGTGTAATAACTTCTGGTTCTGGGTTAGACTAGATATAGATCAATGATATAATTTAAAGCATTGAACTATTTACACTGAGAAAGAATTTGACAGTATTTTGTGCCAGAGTACTTTTTCTACACTTTTGTTCAGATAAAGAATTTTGAATGTTATTAAAGTCAAAGGGGAATGTATTCAACAACAGGGTTTTTTAAAATCAAAGAATCTAAGTCTCATTGCTCAAGTTTGAAGATAAACAAGACAAATGTTGACCCTGCAGCAGTAAAGGTTCATGACTGCATGTGTAATAAGTAGATGCTAAGAGCCAGATGTCAATGAAGTCGACATCATTCCTTGCTCCGGGGAAAAAGCTGGTGATAACTGGAGAAAAATAGAGTTCATTGTCTTTTCAGTTTTAATGAAGTGCAAATAATCCCTGATTTAATGATATGAACCCCACACATCTTACTGTATGTTATACAAGAAAGAAGCTAATTGAGCAGGCTAGAAACTTACCCTGTGCAAACCATGCATTTCTTTTGTCATTCAGTCATAGCATATGTGTTATTTAAAAAGAAACGGGAATAGTCAGTCACTTCAAAGTCTGATATGCAGTCTGGTATTACTACATGAGATCAAAACAAATGTCTTGCAACACAGACAGTTGCTGTTGATAGATCTCAAAGGTCACAGCACCAAATACAGCTCACCTCATTTTCCCCAGATTTAGTCGTTAGACCTGTGGGAGAACTGGCAGAAGATTTAGATTATAAAAAGAATATAGTGTACTCTCTGTGAAGAAATTAAGAGTTGGCCTCTTGAGTTTCAACATTTTAACAAAGAAAATAAGAGGATAATTGTAACTTTTAAGACAGACTTGACAAAGTACCTCCTTCCATGAAGAGGTGCTGAAGGCTTGAACCAAAGAGCAAGAAGTGATGGGGCAGAAAAAAGTGTCATGGACAGGACAAAGTCAAACAATACGATAACATGTCAGTAGGTGCAGCAGGGTCAATATGAAGAGTGGCTGAAAGGGACCATCTGAAGAAAATCTACAGCAACTAATAGATGGCAAACTGTGGGAACTGGCAAAAAGGCACCCAGTGGTCTTTGTAATGAACCAATGGGAGATATCACAGAATATTTAATACTAGTGACAAAAAAACCTCAGCCAAGAGTTTTGAATACAAGAATATACAATATCAAATTAAAGAATAGGAAAACTTTGTCATAAGCAGTGGATAAAATAAAAATGAATGGACTAATAAATTTCACCATTTAAACAGTAACTGTTGCCAGAATGTGAACTTCATTATTACCCGTTTATTTGGCTGACATTACCATGAGAAACATAAGCTAAGCACTTATAACTAGGTTCTGTTTTGCCTTTGGTATTGTAATCTGCTTGCTATTATGAATATTTGACTAAACTGCAGCTTCCATTTTGGTTGTGAACTATTTCCCCTACTGCTTTTACCCTCCAGTTTGAACCAAGATATCAGCAGAAGTTATTTGAAGACTAACAAAAGAGACCATTAACAGCTATTAATCTGGATAATCTTTCATTCAATCAAAAGGTCTACAAAACAGTATTTTTTTTTTTCTCAGATGAAGCATTTGTAAGGCAGGAGATGATGGAAAGCCACTCAGGCAAAGTAACCTAACTGTATATCCATCTTGAATCTGGATTTATGTGCAGATACTGTTACTTTAATGCAGATCTCTTGTGTCTACACATGGAGTAAGCAAAGCATGAATAATTTAGAAAAGACTTTGCAAAGTTTGTATTTATTTTCACCAAAGAACCAGAAGGAAGGATAGTAATTCCGACAGTTTGCAGATGTACTGGAACACCAAAAGAATGCCAGAGGGGAAGACTGGGAGAGCTGAGATCAAAGTTTCAACAAACCGGCTCCATAGAATATAGTGGCTGAATACAGTAAATGTCCACTAGAAGCACTTGAAAAAGGATGTTGACAAGAGATTGCACTAATTAATTTTTTCTCAAAGTAACCTTGTAAGCTCAGCATCCTTTCTTGCTGCTGCTTTGCATTTACTATTATCAGCCTAACGATATGAACTTGCAAAAGGAATGTTTATTAAATCTACAACTGAATATATAGATGTTCTCTTTTCATTGTGGTTATGATGTCTTTGATTGTTGCAGGCCAAGTGTCATCTTGAGCTTTGTAACTACTAAAGGCTATTTTCCAATCTGCTGTTAATGCTTGAAGAAATTCGACCATTTGTTGCCACCTTCTCTGAATCTGTTTTTAATATCTGATGAGCAAACGTCATTATGCGGAGCAGTCGGTGTGTAAGCAACTATTTTAGACACTTTTTTTACATCGCATAGTACTACCCTTTTGTTATTAGTACTTGGCACCAAAGGAACAGAACAAATTGTCTGTATAATATGGTTAATAAATGATTGCAGAGAAATCCCAGTGTCATGTGCAGCATTCAGATGTACCTGTACAACCAAGGATAAGTAGGTAAATACACTCAGGGACTATTAGATTTTTCACTTCTAAGCAGAGACTGAAACATAAGAGAAAAATAATAAGTACGAAGCCTTTGTTTTTCAAGTCTATAGTGTATGTATATCTGAGGTAAGTGGAGCAGTTAGGACATTTTAACTTCTAATGATGCTGTAATCAGAAATGAGATAATCAGCTCTAGTAGAAAATACTATTTCTGATTTGATGGTATCATCCTCAGATAGTTGCAATAGATTACTCAGCAGCAAAAAATATAATATATGTTTCCAACTCACATCATCCAAGATTATAATTACTAAATACTTCAAAAAATAACTTGGACACAGAGTTAGGCAAGCTGAAAAAAGAAGTTCAAAAAAATACTTGCCTTGAGTGTGAAAGCCATCTGTACTGCAACTAGTAAATTGTAAGAACTTTTGGATGGGACTTTTTCAATTGAAAAAGCAATTTGAAACTGCTTTCAGGAAAAGATCAGTTTCAAAAATTTCTTCAGCAGAAATGTTTTCAAATATTTGCAATGTTGCACTTTGACATTTTCAAAATGGAAACTTAGTTCTTGAACAGAAATAATTTTTGTTTCGAAAAATTAAAGATACAGAAATTCAAAATGACGATCATTGCTCAAAAGAAAATGTTCAAGCAAACAAATTTAAGAAATGCATTTATTAATTCACTTCTTAAAAGATTTTAATGCTTCATTTTGTAACAGATTTTAATTTTTTATTTCACTTAGGTGAAAATTATAAACACGTTTTAAAAGTAATTCTATGATAAGAAATCCATTTTATACCCATTTGCCAAATGTAATACAGAATTAGAAAGAAGACATAAAGAAAGCTTTAGGACTGCTGTGAATTATAATGATCTGTTATGTCCCCTAGCAGCTATTGAAGAATTCTGTGAGAATTTGTGCTGTCTATGCCTCAGGCATGGTATTTAACCTGTCTCTTGCCTGCATTGAAATGGGTTTAAATCTCACTGCAACCAGTTTACAAGTCCTGCTAGGCAAATATCTTTGAAGATGGCAGATTACCCAAGTAATTTTTGAAGATAAAAAAATATAAAAATAAAATATGTCAAAGCAGGCAAAAATTCACTCCCACACATACAAGAAAAGGGAGAGGGAAGCTGAGTAAAGAATTTTCATAAATAAATTAAGTTGAGAATAAGGACACAATTTTCATCTGAACTAAAATCAATAAGCTCAGTCCTTGTCTGTCGTATTCAACTCCTTTGAAATCAGCATTTATGCCAGCACTTAACGTAGTTCAATATGCTTTATAATCTAAGACATCAATATCTACAGTATGTCTGAAGAAAAGGAAAAAATAAGAAGAAATCAGATAGAATGTTTTCTGCAGAAGTCAGCCCTCTGGGGGCTCTCTCAAGCTCATAATTCCAATGGTGCACAGTGCCAGCTACATATTATCTAGCTTAACCAATTAGGTAAACTCTAAAGTACTCTAGCGGTACGGACTGCAGTGTGAAACAGAATTTTCTCTCTTACTTTGAGGTTGATACTTTCCTCTCCCCTGTTTGTTAACATCCCAGGTTTTATTTCTGTTATATTATTTGCATGACATTTTCTAGTGCATAAAATGCTTTTTAGCAACACTGGATAGCCCCTGCTATCAGTGTACTAACGTATCATTAAATAAGGGATCTCAACTGAAAAATACCTCTCCTTTCTTGAGTGACTAAGATATATGAAACAACAATAAAAAAGAAGAATCACAGTGCATTATGTCTTCTGCTAGGAATTTTCCTGACAACACTTGCTAGCATGAGTACTTTGGAGGGCTCACTACGAGCAAATTAATTTTTTTTTTTTTTCCCCTGACCCGCTTCCACAAGATGTAACTCTGATTTTTGCAGTCTGTTGTACTGTCCGTTATTTTATTTGTTTTCTTGATGGCATTAAGATTAGAGAAAGTAAATAAGGTAAAAAAGTGCATTTGTGTGTTGGCATTTACTTAGTAAGTAATAAAACAGTTTTGCTAAAGAAAGCCCAGAATGGATAGCTCAAAGATGGGCATTGGAGTATGGAACATACTAACTATTGCTACTGAAATAAAATTGCAGTGAGGTGAATCCAAAACATCTGTGTAGTTAGTATTATAGGTACCTTTAAGACAGCGATTTACAGAATTCAGTCACTCTTAATATCTTAAGGACACAGAGAAATATCCATATTGTGTAAACCGAAGACAGGCATAGCATTAATGTCTTTCACAGGAGGAAATGAAATTTCAGAGCTGTAATTAGAACTCAGGATTGTGTTCCTATGCTCATCAAAATTTCTGACACAGACTCTTTACCTCTCCCACCTTCCCTTTCTGGTGGGGCTGAGAAATGATTAATGCTCCCCAGCCATTGACAGTCTTTGGGTAACAACACAGAGGATGTAATGTACCACAGGAATTTCAGACTCTCCTTGTCAGTCTATTTTTTTGTTTTAATTTGTTATAACTGTGAGAAATGTTGGTGGGCCTTCTGAATGACATGTTGGTCACAAGCCATGCATTGAGATCCACTAGTTAGGTAACTTTGTAAGACCCTTTTCTAGGCATGTTTCTCTAAGTCCTCAGTAAACTACAACTGGATAAAACAGAGAGCAAACAATCTCGGGACGTGGTCAATAATGAAATGTTATCTGCCCTAGAGAGTCAGAACACAAGTTACAAGAAATGGTTTTACAAGACACTGATTTTTCAAGTATTTCACTTTTGTTGTGTTAACCACAGAGGTGTGTTTTCTGTTACCATTGAGCTGCCAGCAGGACCTCTAGTGAACTCTAGACAGCAGCCATCATCCTTTGTCCCTAGAAAGGCTTTCCAAAAGTGAATGCATGGGTACACTTGCACAGTACTTTCCTGAGAGGCAAAACCTGACAATTAAACAAAAAGCTAAGACAAGGGGAAAACACTTAATGCATAAAATAGGCATGCCTATAAACATAGCACATTAGCAAAGGGTAAGATCCCTGAAAACACAAGGGACATGTTATCCCCCCTTAGAAAAAAAGGCCAATATACATACAGGATCAATAAGCTTCTGAAACTCATTTTCTAACAGCTGTGAAATGGCCTACATCCCCAGTGAGATTTTCTCAACTGAAGGTAAACACCCTATAGATGAGAACAGGGTCTAAACCAATTGTTCAGATGCAATTCCTCTCTTTTCCCACCACACACTTGGACAAAGACAAGCAGGGATGTAAGAGGAGAACCTGCAGCTATTTTCCCCATTCATCCTGCTTCCCAGCTCTACATCGCTTTTTATGCTGTCTACACCTTCTCATCAGAGCTTCCTCTTTCCCCTCTCTGCCAATGATCCTTCTCCACACAGCTACAGGATTGCCTGCCCCAATTTAGCCTCTACTTTTCCCCGCTGTACTTGTCCTATTTTCTATTTGAGAATATTTTTTGCTCATTCTTCTATATTCTGGTCTTATCTCCCCTCAGAAAGAGATTCTGATCTAATCTCCCCCTCAGTGACAGAGAACATGTGACACTAACTATGGCAAATGCTGAGTGACACAGTGTTTTGAGTACATTTGGAACAAAGCAAAAAAAACACCCTAAAACCCGCCAACCAAAAAAACCCCTACCCAACTACCCAAAAAATTGATAAAGACTTTAAAAAGGTTTAGGATAAACCTATCATTTTGGAGAATCTGCCCCTCAAGAACTCCTTATTTGAATATAACTATATTTGAAATGGTGAGAATGAACTGGTGCTATCAGAGAAATATGCCCACATTTTGTACTATACTTGACCACTTGCATTATCATAATGACTTGAGAAAAGCAGCCTATCCATGTATAGACATTTTTTAAAGCGGGTGTACTTTTACCTGCCCCAATAACTCTCTCAATACGAATTCTTGAAGGATCTATCTCCTTTGCAAATTCATGGACAGCAAGAGATGGGTCTTCATATGTGTCTGGATCAATATATGTTTTGACTCCTGGGAAACGTACTGCAAAAAAAGAGACAATACTAGGAATCAAGCATTCTTTGACATTAACGCACTGTAACAATATGGTTTTCTCTTTTTCTTTTTTTGTTTTTTTTTGGTTGTTGTTGACTAGACAATTGAAACGATTGGAAATAATATATTAAATCTTCCACATTTAAAGTTCCAGAACCCAACAGAAGAGGATAATGACCCAAAATTACTAATGCTTCACAGAAACCAACTGTAGAATGCACGAGTTGTCCTCATTTGCCGGCAGCACCAGGGCCTTCAAAGTCTGACTGGGCACAGACTTAAGCCTTTTCTCTTATCCTTCAAGTGGCTTTTTAAAATGAGGCTTCTGAGACATTAAAGAGCTGGGTGTTACAACTCCATAGACAGAGGGTAAGCCTCTGCCAACGCAACACAAGCAAAAGCATTCAAACTGTGAGCAAGGTCCTGCTGGACCCTGGTTGAATCTCCTGAGATGTTCTGGGTGACTGAAAGCACGGATACTTCTTCAGGATTGCTGCAGTGCAGTTACATCAAATATCCTTTCAGCTTTCAATGATAACTGATCAACAGTGTTAGTGTAAAGAACAGAGGAAATACGGGTATTAGGTTCTCTGAATGTTATTTATACCTCTAGTTATTGTTATGTTTGCTAGCTACACAGATCCCAGAGTTTATCCTGTCCCCCAGGAACAAAAAGTCACAGGCCTTCAGAAAACTCAGTCTTTGGTATTCAACTGAGAAGATATTGTCAAACTCTTATGCTGTTTTGTTTCTGTCTCAGATGAACACAAGCATCTCCTGAGATATTGCATTTCAGGCAGGAAAATTAAGAGGATGATAAAGTTTTCGGAAACTTCTCCTTAGGAAAAAATAACAGCCCTAGCTAAGTTTTAAGGAAAATGCTATTTTGGGTAAGATAAAATGCCTTTTTTTTTTTGTTTTTTTTTTTTTTTTTTGTAAGCATTTCCTTTCCAAATGCTATTTAGTATTTTAGTCTGAAGAGGCTCCTTGGACTCTCTGCACTTAGCTCACTTCCTTAAGGAATGCTTCAAGTACAGCTGGTAAATCTGGAAAATGCAGCAAGTCACAAGAGAAAATATGAGCTCTGCGCTGGTCACTTGAAAGGGTGTCTACAGAGACACCAAGTGAGGGCTCAAAGATATGGGGAAAAGCAGATCCTGAAGACTGCCAAAGCGGTTTATATTCCCCTTTGCTGCTCCTTGGGCAATTTAGGCAATCTGTCCTTTACTTTGAAAACAGTGCTTTCTAATTCACTCCTTTCATTTTCGGGTGGATGGCTGAACATTTCTTTTGCCAAACAGGTCCAATCTTTGAGATCCTTTTCTCTGAGGATGAGTCCTGGAGGACTGTGCTGCTTTGTTCTCTTCTGATCAGCTTGAACAACCAGAGAGCCATGTGCAAGACAAGAACAAAAATATCCAAATGCATTTATAAGGCTTTGATAATTTCTGTCTGGTTCCTTAGAGATGGCCATGGCAAGAGTGGGTTGGTGCCAGATTGCTTTGGCAGGCTCCAACAAGCCATCATTTTCTGGCATGGCTAATATATCTTGTGTTCTTAAGTGTGGCATGTCCAAGAACTTACGTTGTTCCTCTTGGACTATCTAGGTGGGAATTTTTTTAGGCTGCTGCCAGGTGGTGATTAAGTTCTTGAAAACTTTCAATTAATTAACAGAAGTTGATGTAGATAATACATCAACTTATCAGGAGTGTACTGCAGCTGGGTCCAGAGAATCTCTTCTAAAAGAATTAAGTACTTCTCAGCCTTCTTCCTCTTATCACTTGGTAGCTGACTCTAAACCAGCTCATTATCTGATAAGCCTAAGTGCATGTTCAGGATAATGAAGTCCAGCTGCACTCATGTAAGTAGTGTGCAAGAGCCATTTGGACCACCGCTGATAAAGTGCACGCACCAGACAGAAATGGGGAGGACGCCCGACATCATGGGATGTCATGTTATCAGCACGAACCCGGACCCCTTTCTAATGCCCTTCAAAGAGTTTATTTCCAGAAATCTTCCTCTGGCTCACACCGAGCTCTCAAGGGAGAGAGGAAGGATGAACAGGAGATGGTTTTCTTCTGCACACAGCAGAAGCACAGGATGTAAAGTGTAGACTAGACATGACAAATCTGGGAACAGGAACAGGCAATGCTAACCAGTGCAGGTTTTGCAGCAGAGCTTTTTTTTAAACAGCTTCAGCTAGTCTAGGAGAGGTCATCCCTATACTGATCTCAGCAGAGACTGCGCAGCCCCACATATTGTTTCAAATTGAGATGCTGGATACCAAATCTATAGGGTCAGCAGTCAGATAAAGATTGTTGCTATCATGAAGGAGGTACTTCTTATGGAGGCACTGAGTGCTCAGTGTAAAGGAGGGAGTATTGTTGGCAATACAGTCTTAGCTGCTTGGGTAAATCACAGTAATTCCTCTTTATCCTTGGTTCTGTGGAGCACATACATGAGTAGAGACTTGTCCCCTCAAGTCTGATGCTGAGATAACTGCAAATGAATGAGAAGCCTCTGAGATGAAGCTTTGTGTCAACATGAAATACAGTCATCATTTACCCTGGCCTGAAAGACACTGAGTGAGGCTTTTCTCAAATTCAGTCACGGTCGCAGAGGCATATATCGAACTCTCCAGCAGAAAGGTTTTTGTCTTCTTTCCCTTCCGAACATGTTTTTAAACAAATGACAAACAAATCTTCCTAGGAAGTATTCTTTATGTGGAAATGTGCCCTTTTCCTTGACAGAAAGAGCCACTTGGCTGGATATAGTGGTGTCACCTGAAAAAAAGATTTTACTTATGGTGACTTAGCTTCTGTCTTGATCATAATATTTCCAGGGATGTTATAAAAAATGACTAAAAAATAACAAAATTTAACACCCTTTGAATAAATAAAAACTTTAAAAAGCTACTTTAACATAAAACAGTGAGTCTAGTAATTTAAAGTAGCTAAACTAAAATAAATAAACTAATATTCTGCCCATGAGAGATTGCCAGGATTTTATCTCACAGTGAGCAGGAGCATGAGGGAAGGCAACTGATTCCACTTTCTATTTTTTGGGTGCCTGGAAGTGTAGACCCCTAAAGCCAAAGAGAACTGGATACAGATAAGGCACATAGTCACCAAGAGTGGAATTTTGAGGCAGAAATTCAATACGGTCCAGACCAGTTGAGAATTCAAAGAAATATACCTGAAAAACTGACAAATATTATTAATAGAATACCAAAAAACCTTATTAACTAGAGTGAATTCAGTGAAATTGTCCAAGAGGACATACAAATAAATAGAACACCCTTGATAGTGCAGAAAATAAGGAACTCTTCAAATGGCCAGATTAAAACATCATGGGTAAAAGCTGTACAGAAAACAACGAACATTCTTGATTTAAAACATGATATAGATATTATATAACACAGTGTTGAATTACTTACAATCTCCATTTTGCAAATGAGCCCTTCTTTTCTCTTCAGATTTCATTTTGGCCTTTATGTACCACTGGCATCTTTTAAGAAAAACAGGTCAGGTTTTAATTAAAATACTTGTCATGCATAAAATAAATGTATATTAAGTTTTTTCTGTACTTTTATGAAAGCCAAAATCTTTGCATTTGGAATATAGATTTAGTTAGGAATCTAAAGACAGAAATATGCATGAAGAACCACAAACAGATTAGATAGAAATAAAAATAAATCAAGGTTGAATGGTTAGTATGAAAATGATTACTTAAGTACAAGTTTGCTGCAATACTTTATTTCCAAGTTTGACTCCTCCAAAGAATCCCAATACTTTAATAAATTATTACTTCCCTGCATTCTTGTTTGCATACACTGGTTTCTGCTAATTAAACCTTATCCTATTAACTCATATCCACCGGGTCAAAAAAGCTCACATTTTCTTCATAAGATAATAGTTTCTATGATTACACGTCTCATGAAAAAAGAAAGTATTTTTTCACATCAGAACCACTTTTTTTTTTTTTTTCTGAGTAGCTCTGTACAGTCTGAGTCAGGCACTGACTTATTATTTCTTCTAAGATAGCAGCTATGATATAGGATAAGCAATATGTAGCCTACTATGTGAATATGGTGAGTTAGCGTATGCCTGTAAAATTGCTATAAAATTGCAAATCCTTGGCAAACAACACAAAACTCTCTGGATGTTCATGAATAGCTAGCAACCTTACCTGACAATGCAAGGGTATGTGGGAGAAAACTGCCACATGGCAAGCTTTCAGGTGCCCTGTAATGAAATCTCCCCCAGCCTGAATGCTGCTTACCTGCAGGACTGTTAATGCTCATTTAGAGGTTTACATGATAGGCTCAAGCATTTCAGTCAAGGAAAAAAAAAAAAATTCTCTTGGTCTTAAAGCTCTTTCTCATTCACTGAACAGCCTAAGAAGCATGATTTCGAGGGAGATCTTTTGGTGTAAGGGCTAGGCTAAGGACTAAGAGCTGCTGGGGCACTGACCCCAGTGGAGAATAGCAGTGTGTGTGGATGTGTGCTTTGGTGTACAGACATTCAGTTCCATGACCAGCTTGAAAAAAATGACTGGCCTCTGTGTGTTCATTACCAGCCTTATAAACTATAACTGTAGATAGCACATCCAGTAAAATAGTAGCAATAGCGATATGAGAAATACGTGAACATACCCACCACATTTCAATGGTTCATTTAAACTACCGAAACAGCGTAGGAGCGTTCACAAACTCATTCATTGCTACATAGGTGATGATGAACACCTGAAGGGCAGAAAGTTCTGAAGTTGTCCTGGTTACGTACCCATATGGAGGGAAACAGCAACCAGTGGATTCTCACCTTCTGTCGAAATCTTTAGATTGTACACCAGTTGCTGAGACCACTAAGCATGCCAGTGCCATTTTTAGGACCTGAACAACTGGTCTGTAGGGTGCCAACTGCCAAGAACATTGAACGCAAGCTCTTACACTTAAAGTGTCTGCCCAAGGGAACAGTTAAAGAAACAAGGCTTTAACCCTGTCCAGTTCTCCTAAGTATGCACGTGGCCCCAAAGTTTGACGACAGAAGCCAGTGAGAATCACCAGCAGAGGGGTCTTCCACCTCTCCATTCCCTGCTGATGTTGGCTACAGAACAATGGGAGAGGAATAATTTCTGTAATGATAAGACTAAATCACACTAACATCACATTTCCTGGAATTTAGTGCAGCCCCCTGTCTCCCTGCATATCCTGCGCCTCGAAGTCTCTGTCGCTTTCATTTTTCTATCTGCAATTGCCAGCCGTGCTTCCTGCTCGCTCTTGGTGGATAATCACTCACTGAAGTGCAGAGGCAGGTGCTCATTTAACCCAGCCTCTCCACTATGAATAGACTCATCAGCAGCCCTGTGACTCGACAGCTCATCAAATTGCTAATTCTAAACAGTGAAGCAGAGCACATCTGTAGGGTACCAATCCCATTTTTCAAGCAGAAATTTACCTCCAGTCCTAGAGTAAATTGAGTATTTATTCAAATTTTTCGTGCTCTGTCTTCTGTGGAATACACTCTTATCACTGCATTTAAGCAGCACTTCAAAATGAATTCATATCTTACATAATTGAAATGGTCCTATTGAGTAAGATGTTAGAAAGCTAAGAGAATCTCTGATGTCCTTAACATTAGCAAACAGGAGGAATAAACACAGAAAGAAACCCATTTCCATATTTTTTTTCATTCCTGAGTTTAGTGAGCTTTTTCTAAAGGAAGCATTTGAGTTATGTTTCAGGATTCCATGTAAGGATTCACAGAATCACAGAATGGTGATTCCATACAATCATTTTCTCCAAAAGTTTGTCTTTGTTTGAATAATTCCTCTCTCTTCTGAAGAAGAAAGACCCTGCTGTTTTTCAGTATTTGTAGTAATTATAGGAATATTTACTTAGCTTCTAAGATTATCTAAGGTCACAATATGTTCCAATGTTAACTGCTCCCGTTAACTTCAACAGAATGTTAGACTTCACTGGTTTTATTATTTAGCAGAAAGAGCATTAATTCACATAATGGTAGCTACTGTAGTGCCATATTTGGTTGCTGGGGTACTGCAAATAAAACCTCCAGCCTACACTGATAGGACTTTGCTTTCTTTTCAAATTAGAGGTGATGCTATACAAACAAAACAGAAACTTAATTACAAATCTGAAAGTGCAGCACCATCCATTGGTATCAGCCCCATCTGTGATGACCATTATCACATTCAGAAGAGTCAGTGTAACATCTTTTCTCTAAGTGTAAACACAGGCTCTCAACCAGGACAGGAATTGTGCAGAATCCCATCCCAACTTCTGGATTCTAGCTTCTGTCCCCAAACCAGATAAGAAGGAAACTCCACAGACAGTCCTCCTCACGTGGAGGCTCTTCCGCCGGCTGTTTTATGCATCTGAAGGAGGGAGAGGAGAAACAGATAGAGAGGGGCCAGAGTCCCCACTATCTTCCCTGCAGAGATTACTGCAGAAGCTATGAGCCTGACTCCTCTGCTCGAAGGCCCGTACCTCTACAGAATATCGGTCTGGTTTTAGGCCTTCTTGATCCATGACAACACTGCAGTGCCACTGATGTCTCACAAAGGAGACAGGGACACAATGTCTTTATCCTTTTAAATTCTGCTTTGCTTCCTGGTGGAAGCAGGTGAAGCCCTGAAATCACTCAGGAAACACCGGGAGGCCCAGTGAAAAAGGAAACAAGGCACCATGGAAGCAGCTACGCCTGTGGGAATCTGAGCTCCAGCAAGGACTGATGTTCCAACCTCTGTGTGTGTTTTTTAGCAAGTCCAATTAGAATTTGTGAATTCCCTTAAAACCTTCAGTGTGTAATTGAGCATGGCATCTGGCCACTCAAATCAAAATGCTTTCTCATCCAATTTGCATTATGTTATTATTTGATCAACACATCAACTGAAGGAAGGTGGACAATCACAATGTAGTAAAAGAATTGTAAGTATAAGAATCAGGGTAGTTATAAAAAAATAATCATTGTCCAGACTGGTGAATTCCCCTGACAGTGCAACAGTACTGCTGTAATGTAGATTTAACTGGGATATCTTCAATCCAATTAAAAAAGAAAAAAAAAAAACAGCCAAAAAGCAATAAAACAGGACCTGAAGGAAGCTATTTTCTGTTCACCAGTGATACCACAGGCAGTAGCATCACTCTAGTGTTTTGGAGTAAAGTTTTCCTTAGTTTAATTTTATTACACAATTCTTATATTTTATCTTAATAGATGCAGAAATTTGCATATAAAATACAAATAATTAAGTATGATTTTCTCTACAGATTTAATATAGTAAAAGTAATAAAAAATTGTCCGCTCAAGTGCCTTTAGCAAGCTACATTGCCAACCCCAAGACATCAAAAATCCTAAGGTTACACTCTCCAAAGCTTTGCAATTGACAGTTATAGATTTTGTAAAACACTGTGGATTTTTGATTTTTGTCTTCTAACGTTGATGGTGAAGGTACATTGTATAAATTCTCACCCTTCAGACAAGAGGTCCAAAAACTTATTTTAAAAACAGCCAAGTTATCTCCTGATTTCACTTAATTGCTTAGCTCCCCAAACCGCATTTTTACAAAAAACAACTCTCACAATAGAACTGTGAGTATGAGCAGTGCTGAACAAGGAGGACATTCAGCCTTCTATGTCTAACCCTTATTTTAGCACTGAAAATGTGGTGAATGACTTAACTATTATTCTTAAATTCTTAGTTTTGGATGACTCTGACCCTGAGTAAATAAGAACACTGTAGTGTTAATTACCTCCCAGTGATCAGGAAGAACAAAGTGAGAATGACCAGGAGAGTGAATCCACCAACAGCAGCAGTGGCAATTACAAGAATTTGTCCCTGCTCCGCAGCCATATCAGAAGCTGAAAGAAAAGCAAAAAGAAAAGAGGTTAAAGCTCCATCACCCAAGGTTCTTGCCGAATGGGTGGTAACATTTCACTGGTCAAATGTTGCAATTGCTCTGTAATAGTTTCTTCAGTGCTTAGTAAGGACATCGGATGTGAATACACCTGTGAAGTTAAAAACCTTAATCCATGTCCCAGCTATGACGAAGGGGAGAAGATGTTTACAGGTTTTTAGAATGAGGAGCTGGCATTATCAGAACACTTGCAATTTACTTAAGTTTGAATATGACGGTATTTTGGACACAAAACTAGAACTTAGTTTTTCTTCAGCTTTATTTAGCTTAATCCTGCATTTAATTCAGCACTTCTCTCCATCCAACTGTTCCAGTGAACTCAGCAGCAGTGCTATGTATGTAAGAGATATTAAACTGCATTCAGGAGGGAGCAAAGCAGAAAAAGCACACCTGATGTGTAGCCTCACATACTCTTCTGTATGTCTGGTGGGTTTTTTCATTGTCACAAAATGTATACAGTTTTTCCTATAATTTGCTCCGGTGACTGGCAACACTGTAGTTGAAAAAAAACCACATTGATTTTCTTATGCCTCATGTTTTCCTCTCTGCTTTTTGTAGGACATTCAGGAGTTTAAAAAGATCACCTGAAATTATCCAGTCTCTGGACACTTGCCCTTTTTATGAATTTATTCTGTATAACATTAAATCTTTACTAGAGTTCCGTAGGTCCTCACTGTCTAAGTACTATATGAGCAGATAAAGAATTAGGCTCAGTTTTTTCTCTCTGTCTTGTGACTCCAGATTTTTATTTCTTAAACTCAGTTACGCTAGAACATTTTCACAACATGACTTTTACCTAATTCTTGCTTTCTGTTTCCATGAAACATAGAATTGTTCTGCAATGTGAATAAATAATTCTATTCAATGACCTCTGACAACAGTAGTAAATGTAGAAAAGAAAATACATTTTAGATTTATCAGGAAAGCAACTTTGATTTTTTAAACTTGCAAACTGTTTCATAAGCAAAATGTTCAGCATTTTTTTAGGCACCAGATGATTAAAGCTTAGGGAAATCACCTAGGCTGCTGCAAAGAGAAAGCTCAGGAGGCTATATTCTCTCACTTTGCAGTTGATGTAGCCCAATACAATGCACACATTGCTGCCCAAAGCCTCATAAAATGCTGTTTCCAAGAAAAACATTTGGCTCCAAAATAATGTTTGTGAGTGCTTCAGAAATTAGCAGTGTAAACTGGCTTTGTAATAGTAGTAAAGCAAATAAAAACAATAGTAGTTTATGTCAAATTTGCAGCAAAAACAACTTGTTACATTTCTGCCATTAGGTTTCTGTCCATATAATTTAATGGAGATACGCACTGGCAGTAAATTACAAGGCATTCAGTATCTGTGTTCATAAGCTCTCCACAGACAAGTTAAATATATACATCTTCCAATAAATGATGTAGCAAATACTCACTGAATAGCTAATCTCCAAAATGGTATCTAATGATATTATGGGAGTGGATTCTAGCTCTGCATTGTGTATTGTTCCTCAGGGTCAGATTTAGTTGGAAAAATACAACATAACAACCATCATGCCATACAAGTAACAATGCAAGTAGTAACAGGCTCTCCAAATTAAACGCTGAATACTATTTTCAGACTAGCAGGGGTTGTGCTAAATGGTGCAAAGGTCATTCCAGCCAAGCACAGTTTGAAGCTGTAAATGGAGGACGAGGTTTTAGGTAAGTCTATCTTGCCTATCTCTGCAATGGAGGTGAGCAGACAAACTGCAGCCGTCTTTTTACTTTTTTAATAGGAAAAAGAGTTGTGCAAAAATAGTGAATT